ATGATAAATTTTTTTGGTGCCAGTATAATATTCTACATAATATTTTTAACATTTTGCCTTTGGTAAATTATTCGTAGTTAGTTTCGAAATAAGTAAGTTAAATGAAAGATGAAAAGGAGTAGTTGAGATGTCATCAGCGTTACTGTGAAAAAACACAGATTAATTCTACTCACGAAAGAGTTACGATAAGTTTATTTATAATGTAATGTGTAATAGAAATTATAGTTAGTATTTTAATTGTTGATCTAATGCTTAACTGACAAAAATATTTATAATATTGATTCCAAGGAAAATTACAAAACTATCGAATTAAGTTGTTTAGCAATTATAAAGGAAATTGCACTTTTGTTACATAAAAATTAGAAGAAATTAGATGTTATGATGAAATTAGAAATTATAAAAATTAGTAAAGAAATTAGATGGAATGCATAACAAGAAAATGCTATAAGATGAATATGTATAGTTATCAAAAGTACTTGAATAACAACTATAAATAAAAAAAGTAGTCGAACGGCTATAAAAGTAATCGAATGATAACAACTTATAATTATAACTGTCTTAATCTCGCTTATCATTGTACAATATTCCATAAAATATTTTATTATCTTTTCGATTACTCCGACAAAACTCCGGTTTATAAAATTAATCATACTTAAAATTGCATTCGCCAAAGAAATAATTAGATGAATTAAGTATTAGAGAAGATTAAATAACGGATAAAAATATTCTTGATTATTTGATTTTTTTAAATTTAATTTCATTTTGAATAATTATAAAGTTTTAAAAAAATATTATAAGTAAAGTTTAAAATGTTTCAGTAACGATAATAAAAATCTATTCAATAATAAGTATTATTGATTTTCTATATAAAATATTTAATAAATAGAAAATTGTGGATTTATTTAAGATGATAACGTAAGTCATTTCTTTAGATTTAATTAAAAATATTTTTACTTTAATTCTACTAGAATAGAAAAAATGTAAAGCAGAAAGTTAAGTTTAAAAAATAGAAAAGTATTCAAAATTAGGACGAAAGCATTGTACAAAATAGCATGTTCGCTGATGACGTCAACAGTTGTGCAAAGAGAAGGGAAACGAGATGAAGTGAGACAGTGTGACTCTGGTTGAAATTTCCAACGTGGACGTATGTCATTGGAGGACACGAAGATGACGAGTATACCGTTCCAAGTGAGACTCTCGTCGCGCGTTTGAAAGTAACTTTTTAACATATAATGAAAAGAGCATAAAATTCTGTTCTCTCGGCTACTTTGAAATCCTTACTTTTACACAGAAATGTATAGTCAATATAATAGTGCTGAAATAATATTCGCGCAGAATATAGATGGACTAAAATCCGGATAATTGAAAATACATCATGCTTTATTTCAAACAATCAATTCATAATATAAACTTATCAAGATGGAATTTCATAAAACACGTTTGCACGATTTTTGTGAGAAACGAACGTTTAAAAAAAAGATATGCATTTAGCAAAAAATTTTTTTCTTTTATATAAAAGAAATATCTCTTTTCTATTTAAAAAATTTAACGGACACGTAAAACCCGGCAAGATAATCTGGTTTAAAAGTGATTTGTCAATATCTGGTGCGATTACTCTCGCCGATAACCTACCTCTTGAACTTTCTTTAGCCACGTCGATTGTACTCCAAATCGGATTTGGCACGAGAGCTGCATTTGGTACGATATGCGTCTCGCGATCTCCTCTGCACGATTAACTGCTTGTATATCTCGGTGTGACAGTCTACTCTAAACTATCGATCGATCAAGTCGTTTTTAGGGAGCAATAAAAATTTGATCTAGTTAAATAATACAATCAAAGTATGAAATAAGCTTTTATTTTATATTGTATAATTAAATTTATCTTTCTATATGTGTTGTGTGAAATTTTTAGGCAGATATATTTTTTAAATGAATATTTGAGTTTAGCGCGAAATATTCAGCTTATAATAAAAATAGTTACAATATTTTAACGTATCGATCACATTTCATATTGTGTGCAGCTAAACGGATAAAGAGTTTATCTTATCTTACGTCACCTCTTGTATAATGTTTAATTATAAACGTAACATTCCTTATAGTTGATTAAAGGATCTTCGATTAAAAAGAAAAGTTCGTGAACAAATATTTATTGATTAGTTGTGTAGCATAATTTATCTCTTAAAATATCAAAGGTCATTGATATAATGGTGTCATCGTGCCAATTGATAGGACAGTTTCTAAAAATAATTGGAATAATGATAATGTTTGACAAAATAATCTTAAAACTAATAAAAGATTAATTTTTCTTCTCAATTTATTTGTAACATAATTTGAAGGAAAGAGAGATAATGTGATCGATATATCGTCAGAGACTCACGTCACGAACATACGCGCGCGACCTCAATTAAACCAATTAACTGTATTTTTCCAACATGTTCGTATTATTATTAAGAGGCGATGCCTCTTGCTTTATTAACTGACTTTCCTACCTAAAGCACAGAAGCACATAGAACTTTGTTCTTCTTCTCTTTTTTCGCTGCTCTTATGACGCACTTAATACTTTAAAACGATATTAATAATGCGCAACGGTGTATAAAAATAATGAATAATACACGGATTGAGATTTTGTTAAATGTGATTTACGGCGTATTGTAATCTTCCTATAAACTTGTATAAAAATTTTTCTTATTTTAGAATATTATTATTATATTATAATACTTTGTCAAATTTTTTGTTAAAATTTTTGAATATATAGGCAATTAATATTTCGGCGTAGTTAACATTTCCACGAATAATATCGCTATAACATTTCATGCGAAGGAAAATACAATAGGAATGGACGTATGTATATGTTATTATAATTATTAATCATATTCCAATTCATAATGTTTAATATAGCATAATACCACTTAATTCAGAACGATAAACGCAACGTAACGTAACGTAATATCGATCTATCTATCCGCTGACGGGATTCGTTACCGATCTCGCGCAAAGTCCTCGTTAATGAAACTATCGAGTTCGCAACTCAATCAATTCAACAGCGCGCGAGACTGGAAAACTTCTCTCGATCGAGTATCCATATCCTTTTCTCAGATAAATGAACTCCGATCTATTCTTACGCATTGTATCAATGAAAATAGCCCATAATGAAATTCACCATTTCCTATAGGACGGTTTATTTGTATTTATAATTATAATTACATTTGCAAACGAACGATTTGGTGTATATTCTAACGTAACGTATGAACGTTAATGGACAGGTTGAGCTGACCTCTTTCCAGTGACCAAATTATTTCGTAGTCCGTTATGAATACCGTTAATCGTATGTCGGACAACTTGCACCTGGAAAACTTACTGTTAAATACATAATATGAAAGAGAGAATAGCGTAAAATAAACTTAAAAACTATTCTTTTATCTTATTTTTTAAAAGGTAATTCCATTCTTCGTTTAATATCTGGAATATTAAAATTATTTTATATTATCAAAGACGAGTAATTCTGTTACATATTATATTACTATTATTTAATTCTATTGCATATATTTTCTCGGCAAAATTATAAATTATAAGTTAGATCGATTTATTTTCAGCCCATAATAGATTTTAGTATAGAGGCTTGAGCCTATTAACGACTAATGTGTACGATCAAAAAGATACAAATCTATGAACATTTTATTCATAAACACGATAAAATATACTGTAAAATTATTTTTTAAATAGCAATTTATTATGCTAAAATGTGACATAAATACTGTAGTTATTTAGCTTTACACACTCTTGCTAACATAACTAAACTACTAAAAACTAGTCTTAATATTAATATTGTGTGAAGAAATTGATTGGAAACGTTTTTTAATCGACAGCTTATATTGATTTATTAAAAATTTGTATAGTTATAAGTGGAACTTTATATGTATATTCAAAGATATACTATATTTTTTGTAAAGGTTATCAAAAAGTGAAAAAAATTGATCGTCCTCCTTTACGTCTTTTTACAAAATTATAAGTCATTTACATATGTAATATTATATATTTTAACGCATTAAAAAATGTAATATTTTTATTTAATTTTGAAATTCCTTAGCAACAAATAAATGTCGCAAAGTCATGTTTCTGGTATCACATTAACCGCGCGTTAGTCTATCGAGAATTACCTCCATTTACCAACGCTCCACATCGATTTGACTGTTTCTTGTCGAGGAGCATCGCAATCACCTGTTTATCGCTTCGCATTCCGCTCAACTTCCATTATCCTCTTCCATTCGTACCGCCTCCGTACAGCGAGAAAGCGAAGCACGTTAGCGAAAACGTTGACTCCATTTGGCACGAGTCTAGTTCGTGCTCGAGGCGGATTCAGTGGCGCCGGAGTTTTCCATCGGTCCATCTCCACGGACACAAGTCCTTGCTCGAGTGAGTTTTGCACTAGAAATATTCCGACGAGACTTTAATGCACTTTGCGACGTTTTCACATAAATTTTGTTTACTTCGCCTCGTATCGAATTCTTTTTTCTTCACGATATGTGCACCA